TTTAGGTGGGGAGAAGAGATTCTGTCAGGTCTAACCATTACAGTATCAAGAGTACAGCAGACAGTAAAATTTCGTTTAAAAAAGTTGTGAGATAACTAGAGCATGACCCGGCTCTCTCTCGGCTCTCAAATGCTCAAGAAGAGTAGAAAGCTTGTCAGATATGACGGTCTGGAGCAAAGAAATGTTATGTTGGGACGGGTCTCGCATCTTGAGTTTCCTCTCGGGTATCGCTAACAGCCCTTTATTAGAGCTACAATAGATGGTTGGCAGGCCCAATAACACAGAATGATCTGGGCCTGCCAACAGAGCTCTATGTTTGACCATAAAATGCTTGAGATGGTTGATCAATATGTTCCCGAATAAATGAAAAGGTTCGCGTTCCAGGTATCCGCATGGATAAGGAAGAAGACTTTTCAATATATTTATTGTCCTGAGCTTACGAACTCTTGCAGGATTCCATTTTCAGAGGTGAGAAGTAGCAACAAAACAAGGGGAATTATAGTGGCCATAGGCCAATCAACCCCTAAAGTCTGAACATTTGCTCGAACTCCTACGACATTGCCTTAAAGCCCAGCTTCACAATCAGTGGGCAAATGTATGAGCAAATTAAAGGCACTCCCATGGGTTCTCCCCGATCAGGCCTGATTGCTGAAGTGGTCCTCCAACGGATTGAACACTTGGTCTTTACCAAGTATCAACCGAAGTTTTGGGCTCGTTATGTCGATGAGACTTTTGTCATTGTCAAAACATCTGACATCGAGCAACTCAAAGATCCATTGAACTCGGTTGATCCAAATATCCAATTCACGAAGGAAGAGGAAAGAAAAAAACAATTACCCTACCTCGATGTCCTCGTGCGCCGGTGTTCAACTGGAATATTGCAAACCATGGTATTCAAAAAAGCCACCGACACAAATAAAGTGCTACATTTTAACAGCAATTATACCACTTGTCACAAACGTAGCTGCGTTCGTACTCTCTTCCAAAGAGTGGAAACACATTGCAGCACACCAGCCGCCAGAAGAGCTGAGCAACAATACCTCCACGAACTCTTCCGAGCAAATGGATACCCAAAGTCATTCATCAAACTGAGCAGGCGCCGAATCAACAGACGACGGTCAGTACAACAACAACAACCCGAAGTCTGGAGAGCTATTCTCTACATAAAATGGGTCTCAGATGCAGTCTCACGACTGTTGCAACCTGCTGGCGTAGGCATAGCCCATGGACCGCAGGCGACAATACGCCGGCGCGTGATGCAACCTAAGGACAGACTGCC